ATGTGAAGAATTCAGAAGAAAGTTTTTGTCGAACACTGTTCAGAAATTATAGTGGATTGCTGTATTTATTGGTCAGGGGCCAGCTGCAGATAACAGAAGATAACCCACTTGACTTAAATAGAAAGGGATTAAATATACAAAGAGGTGAGGACTTACAAAACCCTTGGAAGGACTGAAGGAACAGGCGGTGGGCTGGGCTCTCATGGAAGATTTCCAAACATACAGTGCACAAGAGGTTTACCAAGGGAGCGACACCCTCTGCAGTGATTAGAGCCACACCACAGATGTTGATTCCAAGACCGAGTTGCCTTGGTGTGACCCGTACCAGCAAATTATTTGCCCGGAACCCTTTTTCCTGCTACCTGTGAAGCTGGGGACCATCTATAATTATCTCGCCAAAATGCCTCCACGAATGCACTTGCCAGAATAAACCAACATAAGCTGCTAAATTTTGCATGAGTATGTCTGCTGGCAGGAGCTGCCCTGTGCACATCTGAGCTGTAAGGGAGTCTGGGATGGGTGGTTTTTTTTTTTAGCTTTCCAGCCTCTGGCATCCAATAGGGCATGCTACAAGGGGGTCGGAGCAGAAAAACGTGAGCCCGTTGCAAAATCTATCACATTTGTTGTTTTTGTTTGCCTGGTACCGCATCATTCTGTTTCCTCTAGAAACAGAACTTTTATTTTATCTTTTTTCTATGAGGGAGCAATTTACTCAGTCATAGGCACTGACTCACATCTGCCAGTTAGATGAACCTGTCTCTCTAGAGTTCTGCAAGACTCTTCTTCAAGGCTCCTCCACTAAAGCCATGAAAAAGGCTTGTTTCTACTACTGATAATTCTAAACATAGAGGATGTGAATGTGAAGGCCACCGGTGATGGATGATTTCCCATAAAGAGAGGGCGTATCTGAAAATGAAACTAAGCAGATTCAGGAAGATCTAAGAAATGGAGGGTGATACAGATTTTTTTTGATGTTGCTTGAACCTCTGGATCAAACCTGTGCCCGAGGCTCTTAACCTTTGGTTAAGACCTTTGGTTTCAACCTTTGGTTAAAACCTCCTCAGTTTTATGGTTCTATAAATTCCCTTTTGCTTAGACTTGTTCTGATTGGATTTCTGTCATTTGCAATATAGAGTTCTGACTCATAGTCATGTGAATTAACCTATTTTGATGTGCCTCTTCCTATATTTATAGATGGAAACCATCTCTCTGTATAAAAACGATCACAACGATGGTAGCAGAAGTCCACAGAAGTCCACATTTCATTGGTAAAGGCTTTGGGGGAGGGATTCTGAGCGCCTCACTTCAGGCCTACATCAGAGCTCCTCGCGCGTGGCAGTCTGGACAATTCATCCCTTTAAGGTAGTGGGTAAACCAGGTTGTGTCGTTTATTTTATTTCATTTTTAAAAAAATTTTTTAACGTTTATTTTTGAGACAGAGAGAGACAGAGCATGAACGGGGGAGGGGCAGAGAGAGAGGGAGACACAGAATCGGAAACAGGCTCCAGGCTCCGAGCTGTCAGCCCAGAGCCTGACGCAGGGCTCGAATTCACGGACCATGAGATTGTGACCTGAGCTGAAATTGGAGGCTTAACCGACTGAGCCACCCAGGCGCCCCCAGGTTGTGTCGTTTAAAACTGCGGTGACCACATTAGCAATAAGCGTAGATTATGTCTTGTACTTTTCTCAGGAGTCTTCAGCAGTCACCCTTCTAGGTGTAGGACTAGATTATTTCTTCATTTATTCATTCAACGTTTTGGAAGCTCAGTTCTCTGGAGGACGGCAGTTACCTTTCAGACAAAGAAGTAGCTATTGAGCTCTACTGTTCCCAGGCTTTTCATGGTTCCACATCGCTTGGAAAAAAGGCTGCATTTTTGGCCCTTCACAATCTAGTCATCATGTGCCCCTGAAACCATAGATGCAGGTCATCTTTGCTCAGAGAGCCTTGCAGTAGACACACAGTGACAGTTACCTCTTTCCTAACAAGACTTTGCCCTCCCCTAATCCTAACACTGCCACTTTCTGCGTGTATCAATCTCTGGAATATGGACACACTTCCTTGCCTAGTTATTTTTCAAAATTGGGATCAGGCGGTCCTTCTTCTGTAACCTGATCTTTATACTAAGATCAAACCCTCCTTTGAGCTCCCTGTGTATTTTTTCACATTACTCTTATTAGACTTACCCTGTCATAATTAAGACATTTTTTATATGCTCTTTCCTTTCTTACACTGTAAATGTATATTCTGTTCACACTTTAATCTTCTCTGCCCCCAAACAAACTCAGTTCCTCTCTTGTATTCTGTTGTGACATCAAATGTTTTTTGCAATATTTATTACGATTGGAATTTTATAGTTACTTGTGTGACTTTTGGATTAACTTGTGTCTTTTTTACTAGGTCACGAGCCAAAAGGGCAAGACAGATTTTGCTCACCAACTTATCCCTACTGCTGAACACTGTCCCTGATACATGATAGGTGCTAAAAATATTTAGTGAATAGATGGGTAAAATTTTGTTGAATAAATGAGTGAATCATAGATAATAGAATGTTAATCCCCTTCAGGAATGTTCGAAGCTTAAGAAGAGAAGACAAGAGAAGATAATGCTTTCTTCTACTGGAATGCACTCGCCTTGTCAATAACAGTGGAATTTTAAGGTGAGGGGCGACTTATTTTTTTTATCATATATTTAAAAACATTTTTAAATGTTTATTTATTTTTGAGAGAGAGAGAGAGAGAGCGAGAGAGGGCAGGTGGGCGAGGGGCAGAGAAAGAGGGAGAGAATCGAAGCAGGGTCCAGGCTCCTAGCTGTCGGCACAGAGCCCCACGCAGAGCTTGAACTCATGGAGCACAAGATCATGACCTGAGCTGAAGTCGGACATTTAACTGACTGAGCCGCCCAGGTGCCTCTCCCTGCAAATGTTTCTCAGATCTCCCTGCCCATCCCACTACTTATGCAACTACTGGAATTTACGATTACGTAGAGAAACTGAGAGATTAATTTCAAATTCTGGGCCTCAGAAAGGATTGGATTTGCCTGTCGTATGGTAGCCTTTGGCATCGACTCCCTTGTCAGACAATCTTGTGAACTGTCAGGGGACTCCCGTGCATTCCGTTCCTTCTTTTGGTCAAGGTCTTGATGGTAGTTGACAGTTAAAGCTGAGCTTTACCCAACAAGAAGGTTAATAAACTTCAAAAATGAGTCCAGTGTTTTAGAGCTGCTAGCTTATCATTTAATTATCTCTCTGCTGGTTGGCATTGAACTGCAGTACAATGGTGTGTTTTTACCCCCGGCCCCTCGTATGAGTTCCTGTGGAATCGCAATTTAAACAGCACAGCGTGCCAAGTGTTACAGCCCCCTCCCTTCCAGTAAGGGCCTAGCCTATATTAAAAATCGCCTCTGCTCTACCTTTCTCCCTACTTCACTTTGATTGTGTATGTTTTTCCCCCCTTATCACAGAAGCAATACACATTTATAGGAGGGGAAAAAAAGATAAGCAAAGGGAAGAAAATAAAAACACCAGCAATCCCACCAGGCAGAGACAGACACTGATAACATATCAATTTATATCATTAGAATCGCTTGGGGAGCTTTTAAGGCATACCAATGGTTGTACGTCACCCCTGGAGTTTCTGATTCAAGTGGTCTGGAGTGGGCTTGGGCAGGGATCATTTTTTAAGGTCTGATGTGCAGGTGAAAACCACATGTCTGGACATGTAGTATATCAAATGTATATTTTACCAAAACGGGCACTCTGTAATACAGTTTTATAACTTGATTTTATCATTTAATAGTTAATTACTAATGTCTTGCAATAGAAGGATAAGATATCTAACCCGTCTTTTTCATGGCCTCGTAGTATGGTTTGACTTCCTTAACTGTTTCCTTGTGGTTGGATAGGCAGGATGTTTTCACCCCTTTGCAAGGATGCAGAGTGCAGGAGTTGAGGGTGGAAGTGGAAGCAGAGGCGGCTTTGGAAAGCTCAGTCACCGGTGCAGAGAAAACGAAACCAAGCTCATCTTGGGTTACGACGGATGACACAAAGACTGGAATTCCTTGGCTATGGAGCTATGATTTTCGGTGGGGAAATCTCTGAATAATTGCTTATTAGCCCGAGACATATCCAGAAACTCATTCAGTTACTTATTTCCCATTCATTCAGTTATTCATTCATTCAGTCAACACAAACAGAGCATTACATCGGGCCCCCTCCCCACACTGGGAATACAAGCTGGGTAACGTTTTGTTCTTTACCTCAAGGGGCTTATTGTCATAAAAGGGCGGGAAGAGATATCCAAATAGCTACACCGGTATTTACTGAGCCCTTATACTGTTCTGGGTGCTCTTTTAAGTGAATTTCCTCAGTTAATGTTCAACACCACCTGATGAAGTCACTTTTATTATCCCCTTCTACAGGGGAGGAGACTGAGGCCCCGAGAGCTTACGTTGTTCAAGGTTACAAAGCCAGTGAGGGACAGAACCAGCAAGTCAAGCTGAGGCAGTTTGGCTCCAGGGTCCAAGCTTGTAACCCCTGTATGCTGCTGCATTGATAAACATGTCAAAGGACAGTAGATACCATGATAGGATTCATGAAAGAGCAAGTGGTGAGCTTTAATGTGGGAAGGAAATAAGGAGGAAACATTTCAGGAAATGCTTTGGAGCTCCGAAAAACTATTTCAGTTTCTAAAAGGAAAATACCACGAGAAGGGAGAATAGGTAGACGTGTGCTCTCCGTATCCCCAATGTTGTAAATCCTGTTTGTTGAGAATATTTTATTTCTGGGGTACCTGCGTGGCTCGGTCGGTTAAACATCTAACTCATGATTTCGGCCCAGGTCATGATCTCACAGTTTGCGAGCTCGAGCTCTGCATCGGGCTCCACACAGGCAATGCAGACCCTGCTTGAGATCCTCTCTTCCTTTCTCTCTGCCCACTCCCCACAAATAATAAATAAATAAATAAATAAATAAATAAATAAATAATAAGTAAATAAATAACTTTAGAACATTTTATTTCCTCTCTACATCTGCTGTATCTATAGAAAGACTAATTGAGGTAGTCTTATCGGTCTTGGATTGTGGGTGAATCCACTGATGCATCAATCCCTGGGACACTGGAGCCATCAGGATGAGAAGGATGGGGCACCCGCAGTGGGAGAAAGGCCACGCTTGTGACCCTTTGTCTAGGGGCGGGTGAAAGCGTGTCACAAAGGAATGGGGGGTAATGTCACGAAGGCTTTCCTCCTAAGGGAGGCCCCTGAATCAAGAGCACACAAGATAAGACTCTGGAGAAAAATCTAGTTTTTTGTTAGGTCTGGGGAGACTGCTCAAGGAGTTCTGATCAGTAGATTTATCTGGAGAGGTATTCCAGAATGGCTAGTGTTAAATTCCACATTGCTTTAGGTCCTTGGCTGTCTGGAGGAGGATGCTGGTTAGAAGAAGAATCCCCTGAACTCATCAAGCAAAAAATAAGCACAGAAGTAGGTATGGACAATAGGGGGCAGAAGATCACAAGTGAGGATTAAAAAGCAGACCATCCCTGGGGCGTTAAAAAAAAAAAATCCTTATATATTTCTATACATTTTTAACAGACTAGGTTCTGGTCTTTGTTCTGTGACCGTCTGGATGGGTTTGTTTATACAAATATAAAAGCAGGAGCTGTAGAGATGTGAATTTCTCTGTTACAATGTCTTGGGCTGAAAGTAACACAAGATCCTTCCCCAAATGGACTTAAAGATTTTAAAATGTTTGCTCAGGAAACAAAGTCTAGAGGTAGATGGACTGCAGGGTTAATTGATTCAGCACTCAAGGAATTTAGTTTTGTTAATCAGTGTAAGTAATGCCACACGCTATGTATTAGTCTACGTGCGCTGTTGTAAGAAAATACCATAGACCGGGTGGCTTGAAAACCACAGACATTTATTTACAATTCTGGAGATTCAAGATCAGGGTGCCAGCATGGTCAGGTTCGGTTGAGGACCTTCTTCTGGGTTGCACACTACTGAACTCCTTGGATTCTCACATGGTGGAAAGAGAGAGGGCTAGCTCTCTAGTCTCTTATAAGGCACCAGTCCCATTCATGAGGGCTCTACCCTCATGACCTAATCACCTCACCAAGGCCCCACCATCAAATACCATAAGTTTGTGTATTAGATTTCAACACATGAATTGGGGAACGATACAGTCAGTCTACAACATGCTTTAACAAACTAGTCCCGAGATCTCCATGGCTTAACACAGTACAATACTACTACTCATTTGTGTAAGTACTCTATGAAAATAGATACTTTTATCACATCCAAGGACCTTGGCTTCATCTATGCTCTAGCTCTACCATCTTGAAGGCTTCAGAAGCACCCTAGCATGACCCAACCTGCAGATGGAGAAAGAGAAGGAATATGGAGGAACAAGCAGGACATTTTAGAGTCCAGGTCTAGAAGCTACAACTATCATAGTCTATGGATCAGGACCCAATTCTTTTGACACTGTCTAACTTCGTGGGAGGCTATTCAGTGTGATTTGCTATATGATTGGGAGGAAAAGGAAATGGGTTTGGTGAATTCGCTATGTTATTTCTATCTCATTGGTTCTTTCCATTTGTCTGCGGCCATTCTCAAAGTCACTTTCCTCCTCCTTCTGGTGGCAAGATGCCTGTAACAGTTTTAGGTGTCATATCAAACCATCATGGCTGAGGGAAGAAAAGAGACAATCTCTTTTTTGAGCTATCTCCTAGGAATGAGGACACTTTTCGTATGAGCCCCTCAGGAAACCTTCTCTCACCTGTCTCTTGGCCTGGATTGGGTCACCTGCCCCTACCTATGTTTGTCAATCACTTCTTTGATAAGTCAAGCCTGTCCTCAGAGTTGGGGATAGGGGAGGTCCTCTGAAGCACGTGGTTGCTTGGATAGATGAATCCCTAAGAATCTCAGGATTCTGTTAGGATTCAGTAGAGGGAAATGTCAATTATCCACGCATCAGGGTGGTGTATTCTGCAAACTTGGAAGGAACTAAATTGATTTCTCTGGGCAATGAGTGTAGAGGGCACTAAGGAGGTGGACTGGTGATCTGACAAGAGTTCTGATCTGGTTGTTCTCTTCATCCCTTGTCTTCTAGCAAATCCTTCCTTGCCCTCAGGGTACTTTTGTAGAAACAGGAAAAGGGCTGGATTTTTTCATCTGAGTTGACAAACAGCAAAAGAGAATATGGAAGTGGAAGCTGGTGATCGAGGAGAAATGAGAAATGGCCGAAACCATTGGGAAGGCATCATAAACCTTGGTGTAAGACTGATCTGCCTTTAATTCATTCTCTGTTTTTCTCTCTCTCTTCATCCTATCCATTCATTTGTTTATCCATCCCTGGTACTGGTTCATGTCCATGGTATATAAATGTTAACTCCCTGCCCTCAAGCAGCTCACAGACTGTGAGGGAGACATGCAAGTAGTCATAATATTGGGATCCAAGTGTTCACAAGATGCTTGAAAGCAGCACAGAAGTGTACTCAGTCCAGATTGACAGGTGACCCAGAAGGTTTCTGAAGGCTTAGTAGGAATAATGCACGCAGAATGGATAGACTGCAGGTGAAGAATGATAAGGTAAGGGGTCAGGAAAGTGAAAGGTACCTTAGGAATACTTTGAGTAGTTAATCATGGGCAAAGTCAGAACAATTGCTGCTAAATGCTATGAAGCATAACCAGGGGCTTGTTAAAATGCACTTAATGGAACCCATCACAGAGATTCTAACGAGTGAATCTGGGGTGAGATCCAGGAAACCAGCATTTTAAAGAAAAGTCCCCAGGTAACTCTAAGGACAGGTCATTCTACAATCCACTATGAAACAAGGGTGTTGTGTGATGGGCTGGACGCTCGGAGAAAAAAAGCCGTGGTCTGTTGCTACTCAAAATGTGGTCCTTGAAGTCCTGGAGTGTCACCTGGAGCTTGTTAGAAATGCAGAATCCCAGACCTCACTCTAGACCTTCTGAATCAGAACGCACATTTTAACAAGCCCCTTAAGCAGTCTGATGAACATTGCAATTATTAACGCACCTCTGTGGAATTTGGGGGGCAGGTGCTACAAGTAAGTGGTCTTGTCGTTACTGGTTAGTTGCTGTATCTACTAAGTGATCGCAAGCCACTGAAAAGGTGCGGTTTAGGGAATGGTGTGGTCAGATTTGTTCTTTCAATTGGAGACACTAATCGAGTATTTCTGTTTTGCTCAACATTCTCCCTATATTTTCCCTTTCTCTGTGTTCCCGAAAGTAGCCGGGCCTTTGACTTTTCCTTCAGCCTAGGTTTTTACCTCCATGATTGAGAACCAGTGTTGCCTGAAGACAATGCTATTCTTGCCTTTTTGAAAGCCTAAGCTTGTAAAAGATATGGGACCAAGGGTCCTAGCTTATAGAGCCGAGGGAGAGTGTTTGAGGTCAAGGATAGAGAATAAGGGAGTATTCCTAGGAATTTGGACGTACCTAAATGTGGTGAAGCTCACTGGGGACTGAGATGGGGCAGATCCATCCAATGCCCTATTCCTGGGTTGGGGAAGAGTGATGTGTACACAGCAAACCCAGAAAAGGACCATAAGCTGAAGGGGTCTAAAACTAGTCCAAGATGGCTATGTCCCCAGCAAAGCATGGCAGCCATAGAGTCTCCTTGGAGCAGTGTGCATAGATGCCCTAGCAGATAAATAGACACGTCACCCTCTTGCTTGGGGTTGGGTAAGACCTGGGGAACCGGGTGTTTCTGGGAGGGCAGAAACACCAATGATGACCGAGAATTTCCTGAATTCTTGAAAAGCTAAGCACTGGGAGTTAGACGATTTGATCTAAATGAATAAAAAACATAGAATTTCTTGTCGTCTTGAAGTGAGAGGTGAGATGCGACATTTAGAATGTTCCCCATAATGCTTCTTTTGTTGTGAATTTCAGGAGAGGCAAAAAATTATAGTGATGTGAACACGGTGGGTTTTTTTTTCTTAGAATGAGAAAAAAATCACAAGTAACACATTTCAAAAAGCTGATAGATACCACAGACATCACACAAAATCCAGAAAAAGAGCATTATACTTTTATTAGTTAACTGCCTGACATATCTCCATAGTTGAAGAACTTTTCATATGATATCTTATCATATTTTTTTCATAGTTTATTTATTTATTTTGGGAGAGAGGGAGAAAGAGAGGGAGATAGCGTGCAAACAGGGGAGGGACAGAGAGGGGGCTGGGGGAGAGAGAATACCGAGTAGGCTCCATGTTGTCAGTGCAGAGCCTGACGTGGGGCTCGACCTCATGAACCGTGAGGTCATGACTTCAGCCAAGATCAAGAGACAGACGTATACCTGATTGAGCCACTCAGGCACCCCTCATATTGTTTTTAAGGAGAGAATAGAAAGATATTAGAGATTCAATCTCTTCTCTCGCATATTTGATCAAAATTTGATTTTTACTATTTGTGGCTTATAACGGTTATTTTCACCTTCACACATAGCAAGATCATACATTGAAAAAAATGTTTTAAAAATTGTTGTCAAATTTGGGAAAACCTCTATTTCTTCCATATTGTAAGCTATACGAATAGACAGAGTGTTTTTCATATGAGCCTCTGGCTCTATATGTTTCAATGTTTTTTTTTTTTTTTTCTTTTTAACATGTTTGTGCTGTCAGTTACTACAGGACACATTCATACTGAGATATGGCCTCCGGCTCAGGGCCTGCACATCACTACATGGAAACGACTATGAACCACATAAATACAATTTACTAAACCCAAATTAAATCTGTCTCCAACTTTAACACAATTCCAGAGGTGCTCATGGCCATTCCAGTACTTCAAATGAAAACAGAAGTGTGAAGGAAGCCACATGGAACGAGACAGAAACACAGGGTGCTCAATGGCAGAGCTTAGACTGTTGCCTCACCTTCTCAGTAAAGCAGAAACCTTCAAGAAGCCATCGGAGCTCTCTCCCTCTTTGACGTGGGAAGACTCAAGACAACGCATGCTGTAGTCATTGGTGCTGCCACGTTCCCATCATCCATCTGCCCTCTTTTCTCAGCTGTAAGTAACATTTCCAATAATGTTGGATGTGCTCCCCCCCCCCTTTATCATTTTGTAGTTCTAGAACGACAGGATTGTAGGAATTCTAAACTTGCAGCAGTTTTCAGCCTTTCTGTTTTCCATCAGGCAGCGCTTGACTCTTGCTTGGTGGAATATCCAGGGCCTCCTTGCACATTTGAGTTTGGTATTATCTTTGAGTATCTCTCATATCTTCTACCGGGTGGTTACCCTGTCTCTCTGGTTCTTGAGTTAAGGATGACCAATACATGCATGCTTATCTGGGGCCAGCTCTATGGATGACATCACATACGTTAATGCCTGCATTCATCTTACAACTACATATATGTGTAAAATGTCATCTCTTCCATGAATCCACTCTCTCGTTCTCTCCAAGAGCAAAGGGATCGTGCTCTTCTGAATCTCCCTTCCTGTCGACCGATAGTAGCTGTTCTCAACCTTGGCTACGCATCAGAATCACCTGTGCGTTGTTTAAACCAATCACAAACAGGCAGGAATTTACCCCCAGTACATGGAATCGGCATCTCGAGAGGTGGAACAGAGGTATCTGCATATTTTTAAAAACTCTCCAAGTGATTCTGATGCACATTGATAGCTAAGTGCCACTGGTCCCTGTCTCTTGGGGGCTACTTATTCTTCCCCCCCTTGTGAAGCCGTTTTCTGTGGATGTCACTCTTCTCTCTTTCTGGATTTAAAACTCGGGATCTTATCAGTCTGTGGCCCCTTTCCTAATAGTTCCTCCACCCCAACACATGTACACAGTCTCTTTCGGTGCCGTATACAAAATAGGTAATGAAAAAAAATAGGTAATGATTGTGTTGACAAATGTGATTATTATCCTACGTTTAACAGTACTAAATACTGCAGCCATAGAAAAACGTGCACGGCATCTGATAAAGGAAGTAAAATAATCTTAACATCCCAAATTTTTAATTAAGGCAAAAGTTGCAAACATCGAAGCCCTAAAAAGTTCATTGAAGAAGACTTCAATGAAATTTTAAGTTTAAGTAAAAAAAAAAAAAAAAGCTTTTTGAAATTGCAGAAACCTTTCATGTTCTTTAACAACAGATCAGTAAATATCGGCCACTCAGAAAAGACAAAAAAACCCCATACATTCGGTGTCCCTTCCAAGAGAAATCCTGTCATTTCTGTCCAGGGCAGGCTACTTGATGTATGAAGTGTGTTCCAGTTTACTTCATGAGATAGTCAACCTGGCCTTTCAACTGGGCCCAGCTGGAGATCTGCATGTGACTCCAAGATGAACAAAATGCACACACGCCTTTCCAGCTCACTCTTATCTAAAATGCCACCAGGAATTATTCCTCTGGCTGAAAGCTCGGTGCCATGATCGAAATGCAAATCCTAGCTAAGAATGTCCTGCTTTGCTTCCCTGAACACTGCTACTGTCTTGTTAAATTCTCCCAGAAGCCTGGGAAGAAAGGCTTTACAGATGAAGAAACTGACAGAGTGAAGTGTTGGATTTGAACTCAGACCATCTTGGGGTTTATGGGCTCTGCAGTCTACCAAGATTTTAGGAACTACTGTGATTCATCAAGCTTTTGCAGTCACTTCTCTGCGTGACCACGTCTGATCAGCTGCACGGCTGAGATTTAGTTTTGATGGGTGGAGGGAATTGCTGGGTCCAGAATTGGTGTGCTTGGGAAGGGGGGTGCCAAGGATCAAGAAAGGGGAGCCTCATAGTAGAGAGGTGAGAAAAGTTCTTAGTCTCTCCTGAAAAATGTGACAAAATGGACCTTCCCAGTCTCATCTTGTGACGGTCTCCTTCCTGCTTATTTGATTTTAACTCTGTGTTTATGTCTTTATTGATTTTCACCTTTCCCGTGTCTCCCATTGGAAATGATTCTCCTCTGCTTCCCCCCTAGTCTCCTAGCCTACTGCTATCAGGGTCCCCTTCTTCATGGAGAGTGAAAGTTCTTCAGGGAAACCTGTCCCTCCTGCTTAACTAGGCAAGACAAACCTATCACAATCACAACCTCTTAGAGCACTTTTGCTGGTCTGTCATGGAACCCTGATGGGGTTCTGTGTGAAACAATAGACCAGCAGGGGGCACACTTAAAACAAAAACAAATACTACAAACGAAAACCGAAAACCAGGAATAAAAGATAAATGGAAAGGGGGCTTCTGGTTCTTCAAGACATGGGGAATGTCCACAGCCTTAGGCAAAGCTGAAACTCCTGGCCTGGGTTAAAAAGAGCTTGTCAGAAAGCAAAGTCTGGCCTAGGAGGGGATGAGTCAAGGGTGGAGAAGAAAAGCACATGGACTGGTTTTTTAGGCCCCCCTACTATGTACTCAATCCCCAGACATCTATCATAGGCCAATGTGTCTATCTTGAGATGATCACGGAGGTGGGTCTGGAGTTTACAAACCCAATGGAAGTGGAACAATTCTCAGAAGTGCTGTCACTGGAAGGGTGACGAGTACACTTCCAGAGGCTAGTTTATGGTCTCTTTGTGTGTCATCTTATCTCAGAGGTCAGCTTGGCTGCATCCTCTCTGCTTCAGTGATTTATAGAACATCCAAAGTTTTCTGGATCATTTTCCTACCAATATCTCGCCCAGAGAGCTGAGTAGTGGCTAATCAAGAGAAAAATACCCAGGCCCAATTTTTGAGGGAGGAGTAAGGATTTGTGCGTTGATATTAGGGTTCTGCCCTTACATTACTTATTCTTTGCAAGTAATCTTTTGCAAACCAGAAGCACTGACCATCAATTTTATGAGATACACTGCTCAGAAGTCTCCAGAGCATGCCACCATTTTTTTTTTTTAATTCTCTGATCTGTCTCATTGAGTTTAGTTTTAGGTTGTGATTGGAACTCCTAATTAATCTCTGCAAACATGGAGATGTGGAAAGGAACTCAGCAGAAAAGCAATTAAAGAGCTCTCTATGATTGTTTTTCCCGTTAACCAAGTCTATTGAAATCACTAGGCCAGCTGTGGCAAGTCTATTTAATAACTTTCTTTTCATTTCCTGATTTCTTACTCAGTTTCTCCTGAACTCCTCATTCCTGGACAGCCTGGATTATTGTTTGCTATTTCCGTCCATATGCTACTTTAAAATAATCACATGTGGATTTATGTTGAAGTCTGCCCCTTAGAACTGATTTCCTTGGCCAGCAGTTAGCAATGATGGAAACCAGTGTAACAAAGGCCTGAGATAAATGATGAAGGATATAAACAAGAAATGCATCTTCCCCTCCCCAGCATAATGTTCAATAAGGTGCTGAAATAATAAATTTTATTTTTAATTAAAAATAAATCTTTCCCCGAAAACGCCCCTCATGTAGCGAGGCACAAGGGGGCAGTGTTACGTCAAATTACATTAAATTAAACTTCACGAAGATGTGATTCCTTGTGGAAACTTGGAGGGATTAGATTAATCATGATGTTGGAAATGAGAATCCCTTGCTAGTTACCGAAAGAATGTGAATTATGCGAGAGGAAAGTTCAAAACCCATCTTCCAGTGCTCAGATCCATGGACCATGCTTCATGTTAGCCAATAGACAGATCTGAGAAGAGGTGAGAGATTAATCTTCAGCGACTGAGCCTTATCAGGGACTTTGCAGGCCATGACACTCTTGAATCCATTCTTAATGGCCTTTGGATTTTAAAAGTCATGACAATATTTATAATTTGGTATTGTTCTAGAGAGCTCTAGAGAGATGGTGCTAGGCCAAAGAAAAGGTAGGGGGTGGGCGGGGGGAGATAGTTGAGAAAAAAAAACCTCATTATTGCAAAGGTTTTGTATCTCAGTGTTCTAGGGTCAGTGGACTTCAGGTCTTCCCTTAAGCATCTGGGCAGCTGAATGTGATTCAAGCTCCCAAGATGCATTAGTGTTTCAGGTTCTACAAGGTGCTAGCCAAGGCGTATGATTGGCCTTGAACCAAGTGGTCTTCATTGTGTGGGCTTTGTCCCTATTTGCATGCCTCATATTCTTCTGGTATCTTCCTCCTTCCCTCTGGTTATCATGATTTTGTTTTCCCTCCACAGGATACTTCCATCTACTCCTTGATGATTCCTCAGAAAGTCTCTTCGTCATCTTGTGCTTCATTTCTACACCTATAGAAATTGGTCAGAATGAAACTATAAAGTTTACACATGAAATAAAATGAGGTGAGTCTTTAGCATAATGACTGGCACATCTGTTTTTTAATAAATGGTAAATACTTGTATTATCACTCTGTTTCTTTCAGTCTGTGATATGAATGATATCACTTCTCTCATAATTTTAAGGTATTTTCAGCATCAAAATATCCTTATTTTTTTTTAATGTTTAATTTTTTTTTTTTTTTGAGAGTATGAGAGTGAGAGAGAGAAAGCACAAGGAGGGGAGGGGCAGAGAGAGAAGGAGACACAGAATCTGAAGCAGTCTCCAGGCTCCAAGCTATCAGCACAGAGCCAGATGCGGGGTTTGAACCCACGAACTGTGAGATCATGACAAGCTGAAGTGGGACGCTTAACTGACTGAGCCACCCAGACACCCCTAAAAAATTTTTTTAGAGAGATTTACTAAAATTAGGTTGATTCTGTAATTGCTAACTTATCATTCAAGCTGGGACACCTTTGAAAGTGAAAGGTACTGCTATTAATAATTATGCTAGAATAACAGGCATAAAGCTGGACTATCTTAGCCAAATCACGATGAATGGTCATGGTATTATACAGGTTTTGCTGAAGCAATAAATTCAGGTTAGAAATGCAGGAAGCCTGTCAAATGAAGCTTTATGATCCAAGCATGCAATGAGAAATGTCCATTGCAGGAATTGCGGAGAGAAGGAAACATAGCCGTTGGAATCCTTTACCCAATGTCACTGGAATAGAAGCTCTATCCTTATGGTTTTTAGTATGAAAGTCTCCAATACAACAAGAAAACCATGCCTATGTCAAGCCTCCAGCCCAATGCTTCTTAGAATCTAGGGCCTGTTTCTCCTGAACCTCTCTCTCTCTCTCTTTTTTTTTTTCAGGCCAGTTTTCATAGCCCTGAAAGTTGGGTGGGGAGTTTTGATTATTTCCTAGCACCTGGAGAGTTTGCAGGTCCTGTTGGGTATGGAGCTAGGCCTAGGGATAGGATACCATTGAAATATCACCTACTCAGGGTAGGACTGTGGGAACTCAGGCCAACTCAGTGCCCCACCTCCATGGTGCCATTAGGTTCTGATTACATTAGATTCTGATCACATTACATTCTGTGTATTGTCTATTGAGGACAAGAAAATCTGTCTCATTCATCATTGTCACCAACCTATGAGGACAGCGCCTGGCACATAGTTCAATGTCCTTGAATTAAGAAGGAAAGAAAATAATGATGTAAGCCCCTGAAGAGTTGGAAGGAAAAGCTGCCAACACCCAGAAAGGACACACAGGATCCTTCCAAGGATCCAATTTTTATAATTATAAAAATTATAATTATAGCAACTAACCATTTATTGTGCTCTTACTATGTGCCAGAGCTTGCTAAGCACTTTACCTTGTGATTTCATTGAATCTTTACAATAGTCTTATTTCCGTATTATAGAGGGGGAAACTGAGGCGCAGAGATTTTGACAGCTTGCCCCAAATCATATGGCTGCTAAGTCAATTTAGACAAATGTGAAGGCTTCAGACAGAGCTGCCAAACGAGTTTCTGGGAGGTAAAACAAGGCAGGGGCTCTCCAAGGTGGGTGAGTGGCACTTCCATACTAAAGCTAACATGAAACCATCATTAACCCAAAATTCTATGATCATTTCCTTCTAAAACACGTAGACCTATCCATCAAGACATTTACCTGTTCTTTCTCTGTTCTCTGAGAATCTTTTTTTCCACATAGTTTGGACTCTGGTGACGTCTCCACTTTTAAATGATTTCTCTCTGGAGAGGTTACTTGAGTTCCTTAAAAAAAAAATCCAATACTGACTTAGCAAGTGCCACTTGCCACAACTGGTAATGCTTGTGGGGTTGGTGCAAAGGGTTTTGAGTAGTTAAGAAAGATTTCCTCTAAGTAGAGAAGAGAAGTCATTTACTTCTCTGGTGGGTATTTGCTGGTGAATTCGCACTAATCCTACTTGTCTATTACAGCTTCTCCTTGGGCACTTCCTGAGAGCCAGGTACATTTGCCCCTTTCCTTTGCCTCACAGATTAATGGGCAGTGATCTGCCTTACAATGTGCTGGCTCCTTGCATCCCTCCTGCTGAGTCAGAAACAATCTGCTAATAGGACAGATTCTAGCCTTTTGCAAAGATTCTTGCCTGCTGTTTTGACACCATTCCAGGACATGTTGTTGGTGGGTAGGAAAGAAGGAGATACGGGCAATTGGAATTGTTTTCCCAATATTATTTTGTAGCCCAGATATCTTAAAAGAGCGAGCACATTGTGTTTGGTGTGTGTTTGGTGTGTTTAATTGATCATTGTAAACAACAACAAAATCAATATTTTTAGTCTGCTCTGATTGTATGCTTGACAGATCCTATTTAAGAATGGTCTAGGAGGTAAAACTTTATAGTTAAAGCTCCCTGCTATTTAGAGGATGGAGTATTTTTTTCCTGCACAGCATCTGTTTTATATCCCTCAGGATGATCTAGGTATTGATGCTATAGCAAACAACCCAGTATCTTAATAATGCCTAACAAGAAAGGTTTATTTCTTTCTTAGATGCATGTCTATGGTGGTTTGTCTGGGGGTTATTCTTAGACATTCTCTCCGAGACCCGGGTTGGGGAGGTTTTATCTAAATGCATGCTTCCTTGGTCACTGCAGTAGTTTGAATAAAATATGGAGAATCAGATATAGGCCTACAAAGCTTCTTCCAGTAGTGACACGAGCTCATATTTTGTAGGCCAAAGCAAGCCACTTGTCCACATCTAAATTCAAAGAAACTGGGAAGTATAAACTTATCATGTGCCTTGAAGGCAGAAAGCTAAAAATACTTGGTGAACAGCACTAATGGCCTCCATACCTTCTTTTTTCCCATCAACTTGTTATCATGGAAATTACAGACGCATAGAAATATTGAAAAGTTATATCTTGGAGTGAACATCCATATACCTTCTACTCCTAGACTCAACGATGGTTCAGTATGGGCATACTTGGACTCTTCTCTTTTTGTCTTTGTCTATCTGTTGGCCTGGCTCTTTCCACTTTGTGTGTGTGTGTGTGTGTGTGTGTGTGTGTGTGTGTGTGTGTGTGTCTGGCCCTCTCATAATGGTAAAATACATGAGTTTTGCTTTGAGAAACAGATTTCCCATCTTTTTTTTAATAAATTTTTAAAAATGTTTTTATTTTTGAGAGAGAGAGAGAGAGAGAGAGAGAGAGAGAGAGAGACTGACCAGGGGAGGGGTAGAGAGTGAAGGAGCCACAGAATCTAAAGCAGACTCCAGGCTCTGAGCTGTCAGCACACAGCCTGATGCAGGGCTTGAAGTCACGAGCCATGAGATCATGACCTGGGCCGAAGTCAGATATTTAACTGAGTGAACCACACAGGCACTCCTAGATTTCTCCTTTTTAATCATGTAATTGTAGGACACTGACAACTTGACTTCTCCCAAGCTCCCTTGTAGTTGCTGCAAGAAGAGACTCTTCTTCCTTGTCTGGCTCGTGCGTTATGAGGAGGTGGTGTTCGAACTGCTGTGGCCAGTTTGCCACAGCACAGTTTGCTGTGGCCAGTCCATGAAGAGAGAGCTAGGAACCACTAAGGGCTCAGCATGGGAAGCCTGAGGGGAAAGCCAACAAGGGAGGAATCAGACTAAAGCGAGAGGAAGGAATAGGTCCTTGATGGTGATGTTTGAGTCTACTCTGAAATCAGGTTTACTTCTGGGCTTTTCATATGGGTGAGAAAATAAATAGCCTTTTTAATGTCTACGAATGTAAGTAAGAGACTGGAGGAGAAGACCCCTGTGAACACCATGGCACCTAAGTTGTGTTATGTGATACGTGGCTTGTGAATGATGACTGACTACATAAAACTCGTCTAGCACATCTGCCTTCCTCATCTACCATCACCCATTTCATGATAATACAGAGTTACCATTTGTATAAACAAAACTGTCCTCATCTAGGCTTTTGATTTCTTATATTTTTCAGGATATTTGAAATTGCAAGTGGCCAGTAGAAGCCAAACGTGGCTCATGTAATGGGTAAGCCTGGTGGTGGTTCATGCTTCAGGCATGACTGGCGGAATCCGGGGGTTCAAATGATGTTTCCCTCATCCTGCATGTGGGCTGTCCCCTCAAGGTAGGGAAAAAATGAGCTCTAGCCATCGCAGAATCACACTGACCCAGTTAAACTGTCCCAGAAGGAAGAGGTACTTCTCTCCACCTGTGTCCATATATGCCTTCAGGGAAGGTGCCTGCTCAGATCACTTGCTCTTCCTCTGTCCATTGCCATTGCAGAGGAATCCTGGAATAATTTTGTTCTCGTGAGCAGGGACGACATGATTGACCACACGTGAAATAGGTGGTGATGGTGGCGGCTGTCACTTCCAGAAATAAGGGTGCCAGTTAGATGAAAGCAATGGGATCCTCTCCATCCACCCGCGTACCCATGCAGCCAGCTACCCAGACAAGTGGGCAGTCATTCACTGACAGCGTATTGTAGCCATCGCAGTATGCTAAGCCATGTCTGAGATTCCTAAGGACAGTGAGACACAACTCACAAATCAAGACGGCGCAAGGTCAGAAGGGCTAAGCGGGTAAGGGAGACGGTGGAAAGCCTACGAATGTTCAGCTGAAGGAACTATTCCCTATAGCTAGGGGAAATTGAAAATGACTTCTCAGAGATAGCATAGTGATGAAGTGCATGTGTTACTGGCACTTAAAAACTAGGGTTTGATTCGTGGCTCCTCTAGTTATTAGCTGTGTAACATTGGCACTCTTTAGATTCGCTTCACTGTCTCCAAAAGGGGAGTAAGATAGGATCTGCCTCATAGGGACATGGTGTGGAGATGAGGCACGTGTGAGCTTTTAGCATCACGCCTGGCGTGAAACAAAAGTTCAACGAATGGCAGATGTCATGGTTTTGTTGCAGTGGTTTTGAGAGCTTTATTTGAAAAGTTGCACCTGGAAAAGAAATGTGGCATCCTTAATGACATTTGTGAATGTCCTGAGGGTACCGAAAGCTGGCACGATCACGAAAACACCCGTGTCTTGTTTGTAGGAATGAGGGAGGACAGCGTCCCTGCTTTCCATGATGGACAGTAGCCGCATGGTGGGTGGCAGCTGGATTGTGTCATACCCAGTTGTGTGCCTGAGACTGTGCGTTTCCTACTGAAGAGGACAAAGAGACATCTAAAGAAAAATAGACGTGAATCATAGGGAAAAGGGCACTGGGTCTGTTTTGGATTAGTGGAGAGGAAATGGGTGGAAAACATTTGGTTGTTTGAGCATAAGAAGAGCTTATTAAAAAGTCCTAGGTTTGTGTGTTCTCCAGAATGTTTCTTCCTAGTAATAAAGCCTGCGAAGTCATGTGACTCAGGAAAAAAGATGTAAATTGGATTTGGAAGAACAGGCTTTAGCCTTGACCCGACCAGGTTCTGCTTTGTGAATGGGGGAAAACTCACCTAGGGTGGTCAGCCTCATTTTCCCCACCGGCAATTCAGGGTGATGCTCTGCCTTCCTCGCAGGGTTTCAGCGGGCATGCAGGGGAATCAAGTGACTTAATGAAATATACGTTGTTGGAGGAGTCGTTAGCACTATGGGACAGTGCAAGGACTATTAGGCACAGGGTACAAAGGAGTGTGTAGTGAAGCCAAGATGGCACCAGGACCCCATATCGCAATGTGGGGCTTTTCTACCTGGGGTGTGTACCAAAGCCTGGAATTCATAGTCCCGTCTTTCGGGATGACTTCTTTGCCATGAGGACATTTTGATATTGTGTTTTTCATTTCGTTGAAAATCTAACAAAACAACGTAAGCATGTTCTACATCATCTGGTTCCCCTTATAAACAAGTATTGCCATGCAGGGCCAGTGCCCACATTTGCATTGGTGTTTATAACTGTGTTGGGGTCAAGAAGAACTACTTTGATTGTCCCAGGCTAAAGAGTGAAGGCAGACTTTATACACAAATTATAAATCCCTGCCAAGAAAAGGCTATGTAATATCATGGGGTACTGTAGGAGCAACGCGAGGAAATTTGCAAGTGGTGATTTAGGGTCAGCAAAAGCCTCTCTCATATTACGATTTGCATTAGTATGAATTTTTAGTTTTGTTTGGATTTACTTGTTTATAGTCATGATATTTATCAGTAAAAGAAAGGCTCGCCTGGTTTTTTATTGGTATTGTGTTAATCTTGTAATAACAATAATTATCACTTTAAATTTTTTTTTAATGTTTATTTATTTTTGAGGCAGAGAGAGACAGAGCATGAATGGGGGAGGGGCAGAGAGAGAGGGAGACACAGAATCCGAAGCAGGCTCCAGGCTCTGAGCCATCAGCCCAGAGCCCGACGCGGGGCTCGAGCTCACGGGCGGCGAGATCGTGACCTGAGCTGAAGTCGGACGCTCAACCGACTGAGCCACCCAGGCGCCCCAATAATTACCACTTTCAAAGTTATTTAAGCAAAGTTTGGGGATTGGCATGATTTTTTTTTCATTAAAAATGACGCTTATGATATTTGTTTGAGAAACGGTATTGTTGAATGTAAAAGCTTGCGCTTGAAATAAGCACATGAAAAAATGCTTAATATTATTGGTTACTGGAGGCATGCAAATTGAAACCACAGCACAGTATTACCACATGTCCATCAGAGTTGTTACAATGAAAAAGACTAACCCATACCAAGTGTTGGTGAGAATATGGAGCCAGTAGAACTCTCGTGTGGTGCTGGGAAGAGTGAAAAATGGTGTAGTCACTCTGGAAACCAATCTGGTAGTTTCTCAAAGAGTTAAAGACAATTAATGTATGACCCAGCCATTCCACTCCCAGTTTTTTATGCCAGAGAACTGAAAGCATATATTCACACAAAGATACTATCTGAGTGCTCATAGCCGTGTTATTTGTAATCGTCTCAAACTAGAAATAATCTATATGTTCATCAACAGGTCAGTCGATTAACAAATGGTGGGATAGCTGTACAATGGGTTATTATTCAGCAGTAGAAAGGCGTGAACCATTGATACACCCTACAACATGGATGTATCTCAACATCAATGTGCTGAGTAAAAGAAAACAGCCAAAAAAGGTACACAGTTTATGGTTGCATTTATATAAAACTCTAGAAAATGCGAATCAGGGTGTATGTAGGGACAGAAAGATCGGTGGTTGCCTGGGGGTGGGGTGGGCTCAGGGAGAGAGGGATGACAAAAAGCATGGTAAAGTCGGGGAGAAGGATCAAATCTTTTCTTGATTGCGGCCATGATTTCACAGATGTAGAAAATTCACAACTCACCACCTCATCCCCTTTAAGTACTCATATTTATCTTATGTCAATTATAGTTCAATAAAGGTGTTAAAAAAAACCCACAGTGTCCCAAAACTTGCCACCAGGCAGGCTTGGTTTTCAATGTCAGCTTTGCCTCTCACTATTAACGTCAGCGTGGGGAAATTACTTCATTTTTTGAGCGTCAGATGTGAAATGGATATACTACCTACCCCAGAAGGCTGTCATACAATCAAGTGAAATATATGTGCCTTCTAGCAAAGTACTCAGTACGTACTGAATACCCAGGACGGGGTATTATCCCCACCCTGGAGTGGGTATTGTACCTAGCAGAAAGCAATGTGGGTCATACGCGTAAACATCTACTCTCTGATTTCTGGAGATCATAGCACATTCCATGTACTTCTGTGAGTACTTCATTATAAATGTACTGCCTTCCACCTAAGAATCTTGTATGCATAGATACTAACAATAAAAGCACCCACTGCCCAGGCTGCATGCTATGTTAGGGCAAACAGAATCTCCGGGCGTGAGAACCAGGTATCAGTGTTTTGAAAGCTCCAAGGTGACTCAGCTGTACAGGGACATGAGAGAACTCCATCTCTGTGCTCCTCAAAGTCTCATCCTTAGACCAGCTGCATAGCATGTGGCAGTTTCTTAGACATGCAGCATCTCAGGCCCAAGCCAGATCTGCTGAGTGAAAAGCTTCATTTTTAACAAGAACCCCAGGTGATTTGTGTGTACGTGAAAGATTGAGAAGCAATAGGAGGGATGATCCTAGGGGGTCTTTCTGTCAAACACTGTGCCAAATTTTTTAGTATGGTGTGATAATATCCCGTTTTAAATCTTATTGGGAAGAATCAAGGGGACCAGAAGATTACACCTCAGAGAGAGAGGAAGTTCAGTGAAAAATTTGCTAGAGGCATTGCTTACTTCCCAGAACAGAAGGCCCTCAATTAGGCCTTTAGAAAATGATAATCTGGGATGACTGGGGACGAATTGACCTCAACAGAAACTCTGTATTTATATACTTACCAAATGGCTTCATTTATGAGGTTCATTTTCAGTCACTTTCCAAATGCTGCAATTAACACTTAATAAATTTTCCTTTCAGAAACCTGATTTCATGGGCCAATGTTTTAGTTAGATTGTAACCAATCAAACTAAATTGTCTGAGTGCTAGGCTTTGTGCAAGAACTTTTACTATACTGTCTCATTTAACCCCCATATAAGCCTAGGAAACAGTTACCATCAGGAAACTCATTTTTGTAAATAAGGGCAACATGCTATAGGGAACTCAGTGACTTGCCCAAGGTCCCATCCGGCTGGAAATTGGCAGCACAGGGATTTGAATCCATGTGTGTGTAGATCAAAGCTTTTGTGGGGCGCCTGGGTGGCGCAGTCGGTTAAGCGTCCGACTTCAGCCAGGTCACGATCTCACGGTCCGTGAGTTCGAGCCCCGCGTCAGGCTCTGGGCTGATGGCTCGGAGCCTGGAGCCTGTTTCGGATTCTGTGTCTCCCTCTCTCTCTGCCCCTCCCCCGTTCATGCTCTGTCTCTCTCTGTCCCAAAAATAAATAAACGTTGAAAAAAAAAATTAAAAAAAAAAAAAAAGCTTTTGTGTGTGCCAAGGCTAATCATAAAGAGATAAGTGAAGAGTATGATTCTGGAGTTGGCCCACAATATAATAAGGATTCCAGTTCCTGGGGTTCCTGGGTGGCTCAGTCAGTGAAGCGTCAGACTCTTGATTTTGGCTCAGCTCGTGATCTCACAGTCGTGGGATCGAGCCTTGGGGTCGAGCCCTGTGTCCGGCTCAGTGCCGAGCGTGGAGCCTGCTTGGGATTCTCTCCTTCCGTCTCCCTCTGCCCCTCCCACACGTGTGTGCATGTGTGCTCTCTCTCAAAAAATTAAAAAAAAAAAAAGAAAAATACATTTAAAGAAACATAGAAAAGGAGGGAAGGAAGGATGGAAGGAAGTCAGAATGACTTTGCTGCATATAACATGACTGTGAGGCAGGAGAGAAGATTCATAATGCTCCAGCGGACTAGCAGAGATCAAGTAATAATTCTTATGGACAGGAGCACAGCATTCAACCTCCCCCCAGCCCCCCCAACTTAGAAGGCTCGGAGTAGGGAAAATAATGTAGATAGGAAGGATGGAGTTGTAGGAGAGATGGAAGCATTGATCACAGAATGTGCCCGCTTTACATCTTTGCCTAAATTGAGTGATACGTGTAACTATCATGTCTGGCACATGGCCTGACATCTAATAGCGCTTAAATGGCCACCATCACTAGACCCAAGGACAGATCCATTGTTACTGTTTTCTCTCAAACAAGAGCCTCTGTAGAAACCAGCTATCTTCTCTTTTTCCGAAAGAAAGTCACTTCAAACTAGAAGCTCAGCCCCACCCAGCACGATCCTAACTTTATATCAAAGGTTATGAAATACCTCTGTGCAATTGCTCTCCTGTAATTCTTTTCTTTATCTAATGTAATTTTTACTGTCACTGAGTTTTAAACATACCTCTTAATTAAACAAGAAACACATATTTTTGTGGAAAAAGAGAAACACGTATAAGCAAAGCTAAGGAAAAAAACCTAACTCCAATCTTTTGCTGTTTAGTATTTAGGTAATGGACAATGTTACTATTATAAATAGTGCTGACATGGCCATTCCCATCTGCAAATATTGTGTATATCCTTTATTATTTCACTAGGATATATTCTGCCAGTGGAACCATCAAAGCCAACTGTCACCGGTTTTGGTTGTGACCTCTAGCACTAGATTTGGGGGAGAAACCCCAGGTAGAAACTTACCTCTGTCATTGGGGGAAATGACTTGAGAAGTGGTGAGAATGTGCCCTTTCTGATTTATACCTACGTTTTCCTGAGACTGAGTCTGCTCTGGGGTGTCTCAGAGGTAACATTTCAAAATGGTATTTGGGAAACGCACCTAAGAAAAATGCCCAAGGACTGCATTTTCAATTCCTCAGATTTTCCCCCAGGGTTTCCTGCATAGCTGCCTTTGGGCTCCAAGTCTGAAATGCCAATAGGAACCGTGATCTCTCTATTGAGTACAAAAGTTTCTTCCTTCTTCAAGAGAACTCAGACTACTATTTTAGGCACTTTTGCACAGCTTGAATTGTGGAAAATTGTATCATTTTACCATCAACAAAGACAAAGGCGCTCATATTGGTCATCCCAGTGATTAACAGAGCATCAGCACGGACAGATGCCAGATCTAAGCCAACCAATCACACTCAAAGTATTTTCTCTAAAAGCAAAGTGAAAATTAGAAAGAAAATCAATTCTTTTCACTCGGAAAAGAAAGGACATAGACGAACATTGTGGGGCTTACCATTGGGAAAAACTCACCTCTGTCTACCAAGATAACATGATCAGTGATGGATGAGTTCCCCACAAGCTGAGGAAAAGACGAGCATCTTGGAGGTCCTAAATCAATTTGGTGTTAAGGACCTCAGATTATTTGTGCTGCCTTCAAATTACCTATAAGGAGAGAGATGTAGCTGCTGACTTGGAAATTAAGGCTTTAAAATATTCTCCAGTGGTTCTTGGGGGGAATTCTATAACATGTTTGTAGCAGTGTCTCCAGTTTTGTGGCCCAAAATGGACCTCTAGCCTCAACACTCAGCTGACTTGTGTTTTTGCAAGGCTCTCAAGTGTCCAGCAACGAAGAGAGGTAGTCTAACCACATAGCAAAATAGGATTCCCGTTGTCAGCCTCTTGTGTATAGTATTTGGCCAGCTGAGATGTTTTAATCGTGTGATCTTTATAAAACACTTACGTGGAAAACCTGAACCTACAAATGTGTTAGACATGGCAAACTAATTTTTTTGTGAGATGGGCAGATATGTAAGGCACTTCACAAGAGGATGGCCACGTGGACAATCAGTATTTGCAAGTATTTGAAAGGTGCCCAACATCATTCATGACCATAGAAATGCAA